ATGGGCTGGGGCACGATGCGCATCCAGGCCAAGCACGCACACATCAGCACCGCTCCCGACCAGTTGTCCAACTTCTTCCTCAAGCTCGTGGTCCACCGCAAGTACTTTACCTACTCGGCGTGTGCGGTCGTGTGTGCGGTCGCGTGTGTGCTGTGTGGGCGTAACACTCAACTAAAACCTACGCCTGGGCAGCGCGGAGGCCGAGGCGTGGAAGGCGCGCGAGGAGTCGGAGACACGCCAGACGGAGGCGGAGTCGAGCGAAGTGGAGAAAGGCGCCGCGCACGAGAGGCGAGAGTCGCGGGCTGACGAGGCGACGTCAACGAGAGTCGCCAGCAAGCGATCGCCGGTGTGCGTCATGAGCGCGGGCTACATCACGGGATTCATCAACGAGTGTCTGAGCGCAAGCCAGGGCGACAAAGCCCCGGTCACCCAGCTCAGCGCGCTCGAAGTTGGATGCTCTGCGCTTGGTACACAACATACGACACACACGACACACACCGTGGCACGTACTCACGCCAACGCTTGATGCATAGCGGGGCACGGAAGCTGCACGTTCATCGTGGCGCCGCGGGAGGGCCTGAGCCAGAGCGCGCAGCAGTTCCTGGACCGTTCCAAGAAGAAGCGAAGCTATTGCGGACATCCGCAGCTGCGGCTCCATCTCACCGCACCCGCCGCACCACCGCCTTCTCGCCCGACCAAGAAGCCAGCGTAGTGGTTGGTGGTGCGAAAGAAAGAAAGTAAAAAGAAAATTGTTTTTCCTTGTTCGCCTTGCGAGATGAAGGTGTACCTCCACTTCGAGGGCAGCGGGCTGCCCGAGTACACGCTCATCCTGACGCTGGCCAACGATGCACCGGACACCTTTAGCGACCTTTTAGACGTGCGGTTCGCTCGATCATTTAATCAATATTGATATCAATCAGATCTGATTTAATTGATGTATTGTGCAGAAATTCGTGGTGGCGTACAACAAGCGGCACGCACCGGCAGGGCACTCACTACCTCCCTCACTCGCCGTGATGAACGAAAAGTACGCCATAATTTTATTTCTTTTATGTTCTTTTTAATCATGTTATCTTGCTCTGCCCACCTGCGGTACCACAGGAAGCGGCAGTACAAGCAAGACGCACGAGTGGTCAAGTCTGTTGACGACCGAGCCGACCTCTACGTCGTCGCTCTGGCCTCCTCGCCACCAGCCACTTCCGCGACCCCGTCGAAGTCTGCCGCTCCTGCACCATCAGCCCCGACTGCCGCCTCGCCTTCGTCCACTACTACTCCCGCTACTACGTCCACGTCCACGTCTACTTCTACTTCGTCCTCTTCGTCGTCTTCCTCTTCATCAACGCCGTCCGCCGCGTCGTCCGATCCGACCGCGCTCATGTCCGCCTTGCGGCTCTCGGCGTTGAATGCTACTCACGGGTACGTTCCGTCTCGAGGCGCTGACCGTCACTTCCACGCGCGTTGACTCCGTACACAGGTGCAGCGACGACGTGGTGGCGCCTGCCCTGCCGGACCCGCTCGACTCGAGCACGGCCGCCAATCCCGCCGTGCGGCAGTACATCGAACATTCGTTAGCCATCGCCGAGCAATCGCGCCAGAAGGGCAACTATAGAGTACCGCCCACTCGGCTTCTGGTCTTCTTGTTCGCTTCTTTTATATTTTACTCTGCCGTGCGTCGTGTGTCGTGTGTCGTGTGTGCCTCTGTGTGCGGTTGTTGGCTACAGCACGCGGTTTCCATATTCGAGCAAGTGCTGGCTCTTATTCCAAACCAGAAGATGTGCCTCTTGCAATTGGGTGCGTCCACTTCATTCCCTATGTTGTTTGTTTGTTTGCTTGCGCTTGCTTGCGCTTGCTTGCGCTTGCTTGGTTGTTTGTTTGTTTGTTTGTTTGTTTGTTTGTTTGTTTGTTTGTTTGTTTGTTTGTTTGCGTCCGTGTGGTCCACAAACGCCACAGTGTTTTGCTCACGCACAGCTGGTGTGCAGGCAAGATATGGCTAAGCGTCAAGAATTACGACAAGGCCCTGCCGTACTTGATGCGTGGCGTCGAGGTCCATTCACTGGACCCCGAGTTCCACTCTACGTACGTACGCCCAACCACTCCATTTTGCGCAGTTCTTGTGCCGTCATTTACGATTTTAACGCAGGCTCGGCGACTGCCTCTACGCCTCTGAAGCTTACGCGGAAGCGCTCCAATGTTACTTGAATGCCTTGGCCACCGCGAAGAAGGCTGGTCAGTCGCCGTCGGCCCTCAACAAATTCAAGGTATGCGCACGAATTTTGTATATCCCCTCCGCCCCTCCGCCCCTCCGCCCCTCCGCCCCTCCGCCCCTCCGCCCCTCCGCCCCTCCGCCCCTCCGCCCCTCCGCCCCTCCGCCCCTCCGCCCCTCCGCCCCCTCCGCCCTCCCGCCCCCTCCCGCCCTCCGCCCTCCGCCCTCCGCCCTCCGCCCTCCCGCACTTCCGCCTCCGCCCTCCGCCCCTCCCCGCATTCCGCCTCCGCCCTCCGCCTCCGCCCTCAACCGAGTAAATGATCATATTAATCATTTCTTTTTCCCCATGACAATGCAGGTCCTTGCTGGCCGGGCAATGTACGGTGCCGGTCAAAAGGACAGCGCTGTGCAGATCTACACAGTACGAGAGCTCTCTCACCATCGGATCACGATGGCGACACGAACTATTTCTTTTCTATTTTCTGTTATTGTCTATTTTCTCTCGAAGTCTGACGACATAATAATTATCCAATCATGCAGAGCATACTCAAGGAGGACGAAAACGAAGACGACGCGCTGGTGGAGTACGGGAAGGCACTGGTGGAGGTCGACAAGAGAACCGACGCCCTGCACGTCTTCCTGCGCGTGTTGGTGCACAAGCCCGATCACGTGGAGACGCGGCAGCAGATCACCCACATTCTTCGCGGGGAGGGAGGCGTCGAGATGGTTCGTACTATTGGAATTGTTGACCGTTGGTGGCCATCAGTGCTGATGCATCAGTGTTGTGGTGGCGACGCTTACAGTTGGCTCAAGAGCTGGCCGCCGTTCCTGCGTCTGCGGCCGCTGCTTTCGGTTTCCTAGCGACAGTCATCAAAGACTATGGCGGTACTGCTTATTTCTCGACTCTACGCGGCTGCTTCTGATCACTTACCCTCTTCTCTTCACCACGCAACACACACACACGCACACACGCACACGACCGCACACACAGCCGTTCATGAGTCAACCCAGCTGTACCTCAAAGCGCTGGCCCTGAAGCCCCAATCTTCTTCATATGCCCTCAATCTGATCCACGGTTTGGAGGTAAACCAATGCAACGCAACGCAACACGCAACGCAATATTGACATGTGGTCTGCGCGTCGACTAGGTGTTGAACCAATACCAGCGAGCGTTCGACGAGGTGAAGGCGTTCTGCAAGGCTAACGCGCAGATGACGCTCGTGTCGGACGACGTGTCGACACTTTCCTGTGCGGACATCTTGCGCGCCATCGCCGACGTCGAGGACCTGCTCGAGCATTCGGGGCGGCATCAGGAGATGCAGAGACACGGAAGAGACAAGATTAGCAAAGTACGTAACTTGATGATTGTTGAGTGTTTTTGTACAGATGCTAATTCGGTGTCGCAAACGTTTTCTTTGGTGTGTGTGTGTGTGTTGTGTGTTGTGCGTGTGTCTACAGAATCAACGCAAGAAACAAAACAAGGCGAAGTCCAATGCTGGCGCAGAGAAAAACCCCGAAGAGTCCGCTGACGGCGACAGTAACAAAGAGGAGGCGGAGAAAGAAACACCGGAGAAGAAGAGCGGCGGTGGACCTAAGCGACCATACAGTGCGGAGGAGCTCGATCTGCTGGCCTTCTTCTGCACGCTGGCCAAGATCGTCTTCATCGTGGGCGCGCTCGATCTGGTCCAGGCCCTCGTCAAGCTCATAGGTGCGCATTGTGCCCTCACTCACATCGCTCGTGCGCGGCCGTTAGTCGACTCATTGAACTCGTTCACCACCAGAGCCCGTGCGCGAGGGACGCGAACTGCACACCACCACGATCCGCAACGAACTCGCCTACTACTGCTGCATCGCCCAGCTAATGGGTTACCACAAGTACACTACACACGACACGACCAACGACACGACCAACGACACGACCAACGACACGACACGACACGACCAACGACACGACACGACCAACGACACGGCACGGCACGACCAACGACACGACCAACGACACGACACACGGCGAATAAATTTAATGCAATTCTTTATTGCCAGGCTTCCGCTTAAGGACAACCGCCCGCTCTACGTGGCCGGCGACAGCCACAGCATGGCCACGGCCTGGCACACACTCAACATCAAGGTACATGCCCGATTGTGTGGACCTACCCTCACGCAGCGTGTTTTTGTTCTTCCACAAACTAACTGACGCACTTATCAAATTAATTGGCGCCAGGGCGAGGAGCGGCTGCTCAAGCCCATGCTGGTCACGGGCCTCAAGATGTGGCACCTGAGGCCCGAGAGCGTGTTCTTCCCCAAGAACAATTTCTACAACGTCGTGTCCACCAGTACGCAACACACTCTCTCTTGTGTGTGTGTGTGTGTGTGTGTGGTGAGTTGCGTGTTGCGTGTTGCGTGTTGTTTTCTCTGGGAGTGTGCTGACTAGACGTGCCGCGTATGCACAGTACCTCCGCATTCAGACGTAGTTTTCCTGTTCGGCGAGATCGACTGCCGTGAAGGGCTCATCGTCTCCGTTGAGAAGTGCCGCTACCGCGACCTCAAGGAGGGCGCACAGGTACAGCGATACGTTATTTCTTCGCGCAATTTTTATTATGTGGCATGATGATGGGAGTTGAAGCTGGCGCTGTGGCGCGTTGCGTGCACCTGCAGGTCACGATTCAAATATTTATCAACGTGTTGAAGGAGCTGAGGCAAAAGTACAAGTGGAACATCTACATTCACCCCGTCGTGCCCGTCCTCAACGAAACCAGGTACGCCCCCCCTTCGATATTGTTTCCATGCCTTATTAGTATTACCTTTATTTATTATTCATATTATTATTTATGTATTTCTCCTCATTATTTACATTGATTGTTTGATGTTAATAACGTAATAATTCCGAAAAAAGAAACATCGTTAAGCAGTTCAACGAGGTGTACAAGGAGCACGTCATGCGAACGCCCGGCCTTCATTGGCTCGACTTCTTCGGCGACCTTCTCACACCCGACGGCACCGGTACGATCGACTAGTTTTGTGGTCACGCGCATCTGTGATTTCTTCTCCTCCTCCTCCTCCTCACTTCACGTGTTGAACTCAACTACGGCGATTTTCCACCAGGTTTCAATACGGCCTACGAGTTGGACGGCACGCACATGAACCCGACCTACCTCCCGCTCCTGGAAAAGGCCATGAACGCCACCCTGGGGCCGCAGTAAGCAGCATTCCCCCAACAAACCGGTTCAACCACACTCTATGCGCACACGACACACGACACACACGGCACACGCTTGCGTGATGGAGTGCAACAGGGCTTCTGCGATTCGAAGGCTCATGTGCGTGGGTCACTCCTCGAGCGAGACGCAGACGGACTTGTGCTCCAGGTAGTTGTGGAGGCCCTCCTCGCCCAGCTCGCGCCCGATGCCGGACTCCTTCCACCCGCCGAACGGCAGCGCCGCGTCCAGTACGTTGTAGCCTGTTGTCCGTTTTTTTGTCGACAC